GGGGACCGTGCCCAGGGGACACGGGGGACCTGCAGGCCGTTCTGTGGGTGAGCTGGTGACCTGACCCCACGGCTTCCCCTCGGCCACGTTGCCCTTCCTCCCAGTGCTCGCCCTCCCCCTCCTCGGGTGTCCTTCCCCGCCTGCGAGCCGGCACCCCCAGCCCAGGCGGCCCTGCTTGTCACTCGAGGCGCCTCTGCGCTCATCCCCCGCGGTCGGCTTAAACAGGCCTGGCACGCAGACCAGTTTCACAAATACCAGCGTAACAATAGCAGCGAAACCAAAATAGACGTTTTCCGTGAAGATGCAGGGACTTCAACGGGCGCTTTGGAAGCGGCGACAGGCATTCGCCCTGGTCCCCTTTTCGGGGAGGAGATCTCACCGGGGAGGGGCCGCGTCTCAGACGCACAGTCGCGGGAGGAGCGTGTATTTCTCCGACCGTTCGCGCACCCGAAACCGCGGGGGACGCTCCCGTGGCCAGGTCTCCAGGCTGTGTACCTCCCCGGCACCCCCGCGCTGGTGGTATTTCTGGGGCGTCTTTTCCAAGGGAAGCGCAGCTTCTAGTTTGTGCTTTTCCCTCTGCGCGAGGAGAGTAACGGCCGCTCCTCCCGGAGGGGACCGGGCCTGAGCCAGGCCCGTGGAGCGCTCAGCCGTGTGCCTGCGCGGGCCGCTCCATCCCAGTGGCACCGTGTCCGTGGCTCCGTCGGCTGGGTGCCGAGCTTGCCACTCCCTCCGCGTGGGTGCCCTGTGTATGCCCACTCGTGCTTCCTCGCCACGCTCGCTCCTCTTTAGTCGGGTTTCCCCCAGATGTGCATTTCTGCAGCGGCTCTTGCCTTCCCACGTGATGTGTAAGAACTTCCTCGCGGGCATCTCCAGGGCCTGGCAACCCTGGCGGAGCACCGCCGAGGTCGGGAAGGAGCCTGGACCCAGGCGCCCGGGCTGACGTGCGCTTACACTCCACCCAGGACCTGTTCTGCAGGGTCACCGGGCACCAGGCCTGCGGGCACTGTCCCTTCTCTCCCGCGGCCCCTGTTCTCTCTGTGGTTAAAAATGACATGGAGTCGGATTCAACCAGGTCTCAGCGAGGAACAAGCGATGCTCCTCGGCCCGCAGCCCCGGGTCCCCTGGGGAGCTTCTGGAATCATTACTGGTGCTGGGCCTGGGCCTCGGTCCTGTAACCGCCCTCCCCACCAGCTGGTGATTCTCGCCGAGGCCCCGGCTGAGCAGCTCTGCAGGGGTTGCAGGCTTGACTTTGCCCTTCTAGGCCCTTCTGGGCACCCTTGCTCCGGGGTGACTTTGCTGGGGGGGTGGAGGTTACCGGATGGCAGGATTCTTGCCCAGCTCCCATGAAGGCCAGGCCTTGCCGAGTCTGCTGCTTTGTCTAGAAGGTAGTGGAGGAGGGACGGGGCTGGATCCCAGGAAGGGCCAGCTGGTCCTGGGGGCCTGTCTCAGACTTCTGTCCCCACCTGCAGAAGGAACATGGAAGGTATGGCCCCGGGCACCTGGCTGGGCAGCTGGGCGACTTGGGGAGGCCGCCCAGCAGTGGGGCAGCTGCTGGTCATGTCTTGGGCACAGTGACGTAGGAGAGACAGTCACTGGGCCTAGGGCACCTCCTGAGGTCCCGGATGCCTGCCCACTGTCCCATTTCAGAACGGATGCAGGAGGGCACCCGGGCCTGGGCACAGCAGCGTCAGACCCGCAGAAGCTGGGCCGAGGCCCCATTCCCAGGGAGAGAACATTCCCGCCCACAGGGCTGCCCACCCTCCACTTGTCACCACCTGACTCCTCCAGAGTGCTCGCGGGCACGTTGCCCAGGCAACCAGACGCCAGCAACTGCGTTGCTATCGTTTGTCTCCTCCCAACACCCAAGGAGCCTGAGCAGCATCCTCGTGCCTCTGAGCTCTGCAGACCGGGCTCCGAGCTCCCAGGGAAGGAGATGGGTCCCTCGGCCACGTCCCCGAGGGCCACGAGGGGGGTGGAGTGATCACGGGGCCGCTTGCGAGAGCTTACAAGGAGCTACACCTAATGTATTCACCGAGGAGCCCCCTTGACACCCCGGGGTGTGGGTACTCATGTTCACCCCATTTTACAGGTTGGGAAACTGAGGCATGGGGAGGCTATTCTGACTGCCCAAGCTCACACATCAAGACGGGAAGTCAGGCAGCCGGCCCTGAGCCCCGAGCGACCACCACACCGCGCTGCTTCTGGGTCAGCCACCTTCAAGCCCCTTTTGGGGGGGATAAGAATGGTTGCTCCGCCTCACCCGGCCCGGGAGGAGCAGGCCGTGCGTGTGCAGGAGGGTCTCTCGAGCGCAGCCCTGTGATGCCCCTGGCCTGCGGGGAGGCCGTGTTTCGGCGAGCGCACCTTCTCTGCAGGACGCTGGCCCCTGCTGCCCGGCGCGGGCAGGAGCCACTGTCCCTGGTCCACTCAGGCTTGAGCGCCTCCCGGGCTCAGACCCAGGAGCCTTGGTCCAGGCGTGAGACCTGCTGCCCCGGGTGCTAAGAGGACCCCTGTGTTCCAGGGAAGGACAATGCCCAGAGGCTGCTTGTCGTCTGGAGGGTTCTACCCAAAGCAAATGAATGTGATGTGTGAGGGGCTCTGCACCCTGGGGTTCCTCCCAGGAGCCCAGCGCCCAGTCTCAGCAGGAGAGCACACCCCGCAATCCCAGTAGAGGGCCGTTCTACCAGCTACCTGACCAGCTTCCCCAAACCGCCAGCTCACCGAAAACAAGAGTCTGAGCACCTGTCACCAAGAGGAGCCAAAGGAGTCATGACGACTAGATGTCACCTGTTGTCCTGGGTGGGGTCCTGGAAGGAAAGAGCCTGTGAGGGCAGAGCCAGTGAAGTCCAAGCACAGAGTGAAATTCCGTTGATGGCGATGTGGCCCCGCCTCTGGTTGGTGACTGGTGATGGCAGACTCGGCGGGGTGATGTAGGAGGTTGACCCTGGGCATGGGGAAGACAGCCGGGAACTCGGCTCCTTTTCAATTCCTGCAAATCTGAAGCTGTTCTAAAGTGACAAGTTTATTTAGGCAAAGAACCCCCAGAAGTGGGTGGGACAGGAAGCGTCTGGACCAGGGTCATGCTGAGGCCCCAGGTGAAGGGATGTCTCCATCGATGTCATAGACACATGCGTGTCTGAGAAGGCGAGGAGTCCGCAGGGCCTGCCCGCTGCAACCCCCGGGCCAGCAGCATGAAAGCAATCGGCCGGCGCCCGGGCAGCTTCTCCATCGCACAGAACTGTTCGCAGGGTGGCCTGTCCCCTGAGCCAGCTGATGACAAGCCCAAGAGCAGACATTCTGGGAATAGGAGTTGTCTACCGGCATCTGGAGCTGGGGTTGTTGTGGGGTGTTCGTCACTGTCCCTGGCGGGGCTGGGACGGACCGGCCACCTGCCGGACACCTCTGAGGTCCCATGTCATTGGGAGATTCAGGGGCGGCCCCTGTGCAGCCCCAGGGCTCCTGCGTGAGCTCGGGCCCGGTTCTCACTGCCTGGGGCTCCGGCCAGTGGGTGCAGCTGCCCCCGGGGGGGGGG